ATGCTAACGGCGGAGGCGCCAGGATTTTTCTCGACCCTCATGAACAGGGAACGGTGCGCTCTCGCGCGCTTCTTTCGTTTCCGAGAAGGCGTGCCGCTGAGGAGATGTGGGGCCGTTATAGGTGTGCACGGTGGATGCTGTTTTTACCGCTGGGGACCGTGATGCCCCTCACGTTGATCCCGGGCACGCTCATGCTCATTCGGTGCGCCCGTCGCCCGTCGCCCCCCTCCGATTCCGCTCTCACGGGAATCGTCGCACCGTTCCACAGATTATACGCGTTGTACAACCGGAACCGGATCCTGCTGTACGCGCTCGGGGCGTTGCTGGGCACGCAGACGGCGGTGGGCTTGTGGCAGTTTACCCTGGCCGGCGGAACGCGTACGTCCAACGGTGTCTGTGCCTCTGCTCGACCCGACCGTGTCTGAACCCGAACGGCCGTGGCCCCTCAGCTGCACCTCTTCCGCTCGATAACTACCAGTTCCACTGTACGTGCATCCTGGTCCTTGTTATCCGCGATCTTCCGCCGACGAGCTAATGGATGGGGCCCGGCCCGGGGCTTGGGACGTATCAGTTTGCATCTACCTCCCGCCGAAGAGAATGTAGGTCGCCGTCCCGCACGCACGCCGCGTCGCCGTCCTATCCTCATCTTTCTTTTTTTGCACGACAGCGGCCGGCTGTCGACCATGTTCGTCTTCATGGAGCTCGGGTACGACACGCTCGTGTTCCTGCTGACGATGGCGCGGACGACGTACGTGTACTGGGAGCACCACAAGCGGGGCCTGCACCCGGGCTCGAGTCTGTTGTCCAACCTGATTCGGGACGGCGCGCTTTACTTCGGGTGCGTGCGTGGTGCGCTTTGCGACGGCGCGGGCTGCCTGCGGGCCCGAGAGCGGAACGACGAGGCTGACTTGAGGGAACGGCGGCGCGCAGAGCGATCTTTTCGATGAACTTGACGTGGGTGCTCATGATCATGTACGCGCCCACGAACCTGCGCGCGATCGCGTCCATGTGCGTTTTTCTCCTCCCCCCGCCCTTTCGAGAGCGTGACGCGCTAAGCCCGATCCTGCGGAATGGCAGACCCTCCTCCTGGTGAGCTAATTGCCCTTGCCAATGCCAGGCTCCCCCGTCCTCGCATCCCTTTCTGACCGTTCGTACTTCAACTCGGTCGACCACGTTCCTGCGCGCAGCGTGACGACGACGGTGATCTGCCGCATCACGCTCAACCTGCGCATGACCGTCTACGGCCCCGCCAAGCTGGACGAGCGCACGCTCAACATCCCGCTCTCGGACCTGCGCCCGCCGGGTGCGAGCCGGCGCGCGCGGTCCCGGCGCAACCGTCTCGGGTTCGGGGAGGGGTCTGGATCGGGGCTGGGGGAGGGGGTGCAGGTGCAGGTGGAGCGCTCGTACGGGTTTGAGGAGGAGGAGGAGGAGGGGGAGGTGGAGGTGGACGGGGTGGTGGTGGTGTCGAGAAAGAATGTGGAGATGGATTTGGTGGGAGAGGGGGAAGGCGAAGGAGAGGTAGAGTCGGTTGGGCACGGGTACGATTCGGACTTGCCGTTTTCGAATGGGAACGGGTTTGGGAGGGACAATGGGCATGTGATCAGGTGGGGGAGGGACGTGTATCCGATGTGAATGGGTCCTTTGCGCCGGAGGTTGCGTTGTACTTTTTAGTTTCACGGGTGGTTGCTGGAATTTTCAGCGGTCGGTCTGTACTTCCCTTATCTTACTTATACCCATCTGCCTGCGAAATGTCACAGTGACGTAGTACTTGCTTGCAGACTGGGGGGCGGGGAGGGAACGGAAAGAAGTACTTAGCATGCGAAGTCGAACCGTTGTATTCCGAGTAATTTCCGACGGGTTACGCCGTGGGTACGTACCACCGTACCAGAGTATGTACATAAGGAAGACATACCCGGGTGCGCGCATACATGCACTCAGCCCTCAGACCACGATCAGGACCGCCCCCCGTCGACACAATGGCCTACCCATAGGCATTCCAGGCGGGCCGAGACGCGAATCGGGTTCGTTTCGGGGTGAGGGTCGGATCGAGGGTACGTGCACGACTTGTGGGTGCATATATGTTGACATGACAATCGACCTTCAACGGAGGGCGTGGAAATACGCGGCGGCCGCATGCCTAGACTGAAGACTGACAGTGAAGCTCTGGCACGAGGCGGAGAAGGCTCGAGCCGGGCGCGCAGCTGTCGAGAGGCTCCACTGACTCCAGCCTCCAGAGGCGTACAGGACGTCCAAGCGGCGGCGAGGTAGGGCCGATCTGGGATGCGATTAAACGGTGCAGACTCGGCAGAGGTGAGTGGACGGGGTGCAGAGGCCGTTGCGGATGTTGCGGACGGCGTTGGGCGACGGTGGAGGACGCCAAGAGGAAACGAGCCAACTCCAAGGGTATTCAATGGCTTAGTCAGCGTGGTGGCGCCTGAAGCAAAAGGAAACTGAGCCGCCCGAGCCTTCGTCGTCCGACATCGTTCCCCTTCCCTTGCCCTCCTCCTCCTCCTCCTCCTCCTCCTCCTCCTCCACAACATCCCGCTCTGCCATGGCCCCCGTCGTCGTAAAGAAGATCTGCTGCAGTGCGTCTCTTCCTCCCGCGTTTCTCCCCGCTCACACGCTCACCGCGACGCGTCTTATCCAGTCGGTGCTGGCTATGTCGGTACGCTCCGCTCTTCTCCCGTCTCTCGTGCCATCCATTCATTCACACTCGCACAGGCGGTCCTACATGTGCCGTCATCGCGCTCAAGTGCCCCAACGTTCAGGTCACCATCGTCGATCTCAACAAGGGCCGCATCGACGCGTGGAACAGCCCCGACTACAAGCTCCCCATCTACGAACCCGGCCTGCTTGAAGTCGTCAAGGCCGCCCGCGGTCGCAACCTCTTCTTCTCCACCGAGGTCGACAAGGCCATCGAGGAGGCCGATCTCATCTTCGTCAGCGTGAACACGCCCACCAAGAAGTCGGGTGTCGGCGCCGGTTTCGCTGCTGACCTCGCGTGAGTCTGGCCGTTTTTCCCCTTCGTGCGACGTGGCCTTCGGATAGACGCGCTCCCAGCCATCTCTGCGGCGAAGAATGCACACTCGATCGTGCCAGCCACCGATCAATATCGCATCAGCCGCGATATCGCGCATATATCCATCTTGCCGTTCCTCCTCCTCAGCCTCCGCGCGACCCTCCACCCTGAACGTGTTCGCTAATCCGCTTTCCTCTCAGCTACGTCGAATCCGCCACACGGCGCATCGCCGAGGTCGCCACGTCCTCCAAGATCGTCGTCGAAAAATCCACCGTGCCATGCCGAACCGCCGAGTCCATGCGCACCATCCTCGAGGCCAACTCCAAGCCCGGCTGCCGCTTCGACATCCTCTCCAACCCCGAGTTCCTCGCCGAGGGAACCGCCATCGACGACCTCTTCGCCCCCGACCGCGTCCTCATCGGCTCGCTCCAAACCCCGGAGGGTCTCTCCGCCTGCCAATCCCTCGCCGCCGTCTACGCCAACTGGGTGCCGTAAGCGCGTTCCCCGCATCGTGTGCAGCACGACCCGTGTTTTTCTTTTTCTCATGCTCCTTGATGCTATCAGGAAAGAACGCATCCTCACCGTCGGCCTTTGGTCGTCCGAGCTCTCCAAGCTCGCCGCGAACGCGATGCTCGCGCAGCGCATCTCCTCCGTCAACGCCCTTTCCGCCCTCTGCGAGGTCACCGGTGCGAACATCGACGAGCTCGCGCACGCCGTCGGCCGCGACTCGCGCATCGGGCCCAAGTTCCTGCGCGCGTCCGTCGGGTTCGGTGGGTCCTGCTTCCAGAAGGACATCCTCAACCTCGTCTACATCAGCGAGAGCGTGCACCTGCCCGAGGTTGCGGAGTACTGGCGCCAGGTCATCGTCATGAACGAGTACCAGAAGAGCCGGTTCTCCAAGACCGTCGTCGACACGCTCTTCAACACCATCACGAACAAGGTTCGTTTCTTACTATCATTTTTGTCTCTGCGCGATGTTCGCGGGCTGATCGCGTTGCGTGTTTTTCGTTAATCGTTAGACGATCGCGGTGCTTGGGTTCGCGTTCAAGGCGGACACGGGAGACACCCGCGAGTCGCCCTCGATCAGCCTCGTCCGCGATTTCCTCTTGGAGAGCGCACGGGTGACGATCTACGACCCCCAAGTGCCCCACGAGCAGATCTGGCTCGACCTCTCCGAGGCCCTCCCCAGCTGGCCGATCGAGAAGAGTGCGTCCCCCGCCCCCTTGTCCCCCCTGTTCACCGCTCCCGTCCTAACATAGCGTGTTTCCGCGCGTTTGCAGTCCAGAAGGCGGTCACGATCGCGCCGTCCGCGCTCGAGGCCGCGCAGAAGAGCGAGGCGATCGTCATCGCGACCGAGTGGAAGGAGTTCCGCGATCTGGACTGGGAGGCAATCCACGGCACGATGAACAAGCCCGCGTTCGTGTTCGACGGGCGCATGATCCTCGACGCGCCCGCGCTCCGCAAGATCGGGTTCACGGTGCGTTTCTTTCACATGTTCTTCTCCACCTCCTCCGAGGCCGAGTGTGGCTTGCTTGCTTGCTTGCTTGCTTCCTGCGATTGGCTTGCTCATGCGCTTTGGCGGTTCAGGTCAAGACCATCGGTCGCGCAGAGTAGAGCGTTTCCGCCTCCATCGAACGGACCCGACCTTGTATACCATCTCCCTAGACCTTACACCTACGGTACGGACCCACGCCTTCCCCCTCCGTTGTGACATTGCCCCTCTCCTCCCTTTGGCATCTTCTCTTGCATCGCGTCTCTTTTATCCTATAGATAATACAAGTAGTCCTGTTGTTCCTTTTTGGTTACGGTGTGGAGGACGGAAGTTTTGCTTGAACCTTTGGATATGGGTTGGACGTCGATCTGCCGTCCACAGGAGGACCGAAGTTTGGCCTTGAAGCTTGAGGCCTTGAGGATGCGATCCTGTGGTGCATGCCGTGCGTTTAGAGTGTGGACTTCCCGTGGGTAGCGCACATGCATGTACACCTCTGTAGCGCAATGGTAGCGCGTCGCTTGCGTGCTTTGGTGCCTCAGGCGCTCCCCTCAGTCTGCAAGTGGAGTTAGTGGGTTCGACTCCCACCAGGGGTTGGTTCAAGTAGCATGCCTGTGGTTTACGAAACCTTCGATGGACTTCATTGTAGGCATGCTATTTGGGCTTGTATTTTTCAATGTCTTCGGTCTCATTATCTTGACATAGTACATACTGTAGAATTACGACCGTAAGTTCGTCACGCATCACGCAGGATTTCTGGGGACCTCGCCGATGAGCTCCGATTAGAAATCGAGGCTCATCGGCGGGCGCTAATTCCAAAAATTTTGAAAAAAATGAACTTACGGTCGTAATTCTACAGTACTTGCACTCAGTAGAATTTATGAATGCAATGTAGCTATGAGGAGTGGTGTACGAAAAAGCACTGACTCTAGTCTCTAATGGTAACGTCGTACGGAAAGCTACGTTGCAGGAGAAGTACTCGTCATGGAATTTGTGTACACAATGGGCAAGATACACCCGTTAGCCGGCTACTGCGACATCCACCAAACGGAAACATAGATAATCGGCCATCGACCCATCACTGGCAAGCACGGGCGTATCCTGGTTCTCTCGTGAATCAAGAACCCGCTCGATGTACTCGGCAGCTCCAGATAGATGGGTCACCATGGCGCAAGAGGCATGTATGGCGACGAAGTGTGGGTCGGGCAGAGGGCGTTCAACAGGGTTATCCGTTTCCCATTGGACGAACGGGGGAACTCCAGCCATATTGTCCGTATGTCTTAACGAGGGATTCTGGTGAACTTTGTATTTCCCGGGGACATCCTGGTGCGACGGCCAAATAGGTCGATGCCTATCTCATCGACAAAGACAGTAAGGACGCACCTCTGGCGTGAACCACAACTTGAGCCGATCGAACGGGCCGCGAACCTTTGGATGTAATGTGAGAAGGTTTGACAGACGGTAAAAATCATTTCTGTTGGGTTCATCAACCAGGAGGTTGACACCAGCCAGCCTTTCTATAATCGTCCAGCAAGCAGATGCATAGTCCGACTGTAAGTGCGTGAGATAGATAAGACCGTGTGTCACAGAAAAAGACATACATCAAAATCGTCATCCCTCCGCCTTTCGCTTATGATCTTGCGAGGAAAGATATGTGCTGCTTCCGTGTGCATGGTCTCTATTGCATCAGCACTCCGGAAAGCGACCTGACGGCACCTGACGCGACCTGACGCGCCTGAATAGCACCGTTCGACCGTTGTCAAGTCGAAGGATCAGTGCTGTCAGGCGCCGTCAGGTGCCGTCAGGTCGGTCAGGTCACTTCCCAGAGTACTGATGTGTATCCGTTCCAAGCTTTCCAGCGGCTTCAAGCTCCTGACGAATGGTGACGTTCGCATCAAGATAGGTGCCGTCGTAAATTCTCGTCACCATACACTTAAAGCCATCTCTGACGAGAGCCTGTCAAGGTACTTCATGTAAGGAAATAAGTAGACAGGAGGAAGTTGTGGCTAACCTCCTCCTTCTCGTGACTATGGCCGAGCATGCGCTCTTCGCGGAGCCAGCGCGTCAAGTCCCCTTGGTCTTTGAATGATGGTCGCGAAAGAGGATTGGAAGATGGCGGGTTATAGCCACGTTCAGACTTCATGTTATAAACTGCATGGTACTATCAGCAGCGCCCCGGCGAGGAGAAGGGAAAGGACAACAAACGGCAGCAGATAAAATGCTCGAAATACGTCTGTCCAAGCTCAAGCAAGGCATCATCGTCAGGGCATGCCAGAATGTCTTTTGTAAGGACCGAACGGCCATCTTCGGAGGGAGGGTGAAGTAG